CACTCAAGAGATGGATTCAAGTGATAGACATGTATGACTATCAACTTGATCCTATTAAAGGTACGTACAACAAAGTGGCTGATGCGCTATCAAGAAGGGCAGATTATCTGGGCGCGCTAGTAACTGAGTTTGGCATATCTAATGACCTCACTCGATCATTGGTGGAAGCCTATCAGGGAGACCCAGTCATGTCGGAGATCATTCGTAGATTCAAGGCAAAGGATAAAAAGACTTTGGACGAATTTACGATGGTAGACGACTTGCTGTTTCTCGATAAGGCAGGGAATAAAAGACTGTGTTGCTAATAGTGAGTCTTTGCGTAGTTTATTTTTAGGAGAGTGTCACGATGCAACGGGTCATTTTGGCTATAAGAAGACAACAACAAACTTAGTTCAGAGATTCTGGTGGCCCTCTATGATGGAAGATGCAAAACGATATGTTGAAACCTGCCAGGTTTGCCAAAGGGACAAACCGAGGTCTCAGGCTCCGCTTAGGCTCATCAAGCCCTTGCCGATTCCTGAAGGTCCTGGTCAAAGTGTGTCTTGGACTTCATGGATACCCTTGTGACCAGTAAGTCTGGAAAGAGACAGATCTTCGTAATAGTGGACCGTTTTACTAAGTATGCAAGACTAATCGCTATGCCAGAAACAACAAAAACTGACCATGTCATCAAACTGTTTATGGACAATTGGGTTCGTGATTTCGGGTTGCCTACGTCTATCGTTAGTGATAGGGGTGTCCGGTTCACAATTGAGCTGTGGCAGTCAACTGCTGACCAAATGGGCATAAAGCTCCAGATGACGTCAGGGAATCACCCTGAGTCAAATGGCCAAGCAGAACAGATGAACCGGGTAGTGCAGCACTTGCTTAGGCATTATATTAAGCCAAGCCAGGATGACTGGGACGAGAAGTTACCTCTCGTCGCCASCCTGTACAACAATGCTGTGCACAGCACCACCGGTATGACTCCCAATCAGTTACATCTTGGTTGGAAGCCCAGATCTGCGCTTGACTTTCTGTTACCAGAAAGGCAACCTACTGCAGCACCTGGCAACATAGAGTTTGCTGTCAAGTATGAGCAGATGCTGCAGCAAGCCGTTGAACACATTCAGAAGTCTCAAGATGCTATGATTGCATCTGAGAACAAACATAGACGGCCTTCTAACTGTCAAGTAGGCGAGAGAGTCTGGGTGAAATCATCTGAACTGGGACAAGAGATAGGGATCTCAAGGAAACTGATGCCTCAGTACTTCGGGCCCTGGGAGATCTTAGATATTGTAGGGGATCAACCGGATGGGCCTTCTTACGTGATTCGCATCCCTGCACACTTACGGACCCATCCTGTTTTCCATGCCTCCAAGCTGGCACCTTTTGCTGCCACAGACCTGTTTCCCTCTCGGAGATCTATGCTGCCCCCAACCATGGATGGCGAAGTGGACATTGACCAGATCGTCGAGCATCGGATGATGCCTGCTCCTCGACCATCAGGCAGAGGGCGACCTCCTAAACCAAGAATGCAGTATCGGGTGAGTTTCAGACATCACCTCAATCCTAAGGAAGATCGCTGGTTCACACGAGAAGAACTCATGAAAACAACTCCTCAAGTGATTGCAGGCTATGAAAGAGAACGGAAAGGGAAGATGCCTGCAGAATAAGAAGACTTCTCAGAGGACTCACGAAGTTGAGGTGGAGGGAATGCGAGGATCAGGGTCCTCGGTAGGCCTATGGGGCCCTGTTTGCAGCCTTACCCGCCCTAAGTGAAGGCGGAGGTGCCCGCCCTAAGTGAAGGCGGGCCTGGCTTTTTGCAAAAGGCCTTCGACTGTCAATTTCATATTTGGGGTTCAGGCAGTTGTGACGCGCCAGTTGGTTGAAAGAAACACAGGCCGAGCAACAAGGACATTTCCACGGCCTACCGGGCCTTTCCAGAGAATGCAGGCCCTGGCCGTGATTCGCAGCCTCATACAGAGACAGTTGGGCGCCCAACCAAACGAGGCCCAGCAGCCCAGTAGCTGCTGCATCCAGGCAGCCTCCTGGGGCCTTCCGGAAGCTTTTGGGCCCAGTCCAAGGCAGCCAGGCTGCGTGAGCAGGCCAACTCTTTTCCATAAAGGAAAGAGCTTGGCCCTCGCTGCCGCATTCAGGCACTCACATGCTGAGCGGCAGCGCTGCTGGAGCTTATGCTCGTAGGCTGCTGCTAGCGCTGAGAGGCGAGGTGCAGCACGTGCGGTCGTGCAGAGGAGGAGGGCGCTGCCGAGGGCAGCGCCCTAGCCCAGCCACCATAGCTGGTGGGCTTGGACTACAGTGAAGCGCAGGGGTGGTCTTCGGGTGACAGAGAGGACGGGTGTGGGTGAAGTTAGGGGATAGGTGAAGGATGATGATGATGACGATGATGTGAGGGCACGTACCTTGTATTGGCAATGGTTTGCATGGGCGGCATCTTCAAGTACTTTGGGCTGCTGCTGATGTCAACAGTTGCATTGTCTTTTTGTAGTCTGTAGTAGCTGTGTAGGAGTAGGCTGGGCGCTGAGCGCCAAGTGTGAGTGTAAGGGAACTGGGCTCTTTTGTTGAGAGGAGAGAGTGTGCTCTCCACGGACATTGGTTTTCAGTGCTACGAAACTCCATTGGTGTATTATTGGTGCAATGCTGCTATCTGGACACGGTGTGACTATTTGGCTTGCAATGTGATGGTGTGATCTGGGATTGTCATCTCGCTGTTGCTTATTTTCCTTGCAGGTAGGTGTACCTGGGTTGTTCAGGTGGTGTCGAGGGTAGCACCTTTCTTAGCAATTGCACCTTGGAAGTTTTGGCTTTTCTGCACCGACTGTTATAGCTCATTCGTTCGAAAACCCATATTCAGTGCTCACAATTAATTTTGTTCACATGGCTACTCTGTAGAGAATTCCATATGTTATAAGCATTTGTTCATAGGAAAACATCACAATCGCTTGTAATTGTCGAAAATGCTCCATATAATCTTTGTCGCCTCTTTCCCCAACCCACCTTGGCAGACAACACTCCCAAATGGTGGTCAAACCTCTACTTCACAGAGCCAACACCTAAATGGCCAATTAACAAGACATGCATAGGGTTATCATCCACAGGCAGAGTACGTATTCATGACAGCGAGCAAAATCACACACAACAAAAAATTAAGAAACAATTTGCAGAAAAAAAAGTAAAAAAACCTAAAAGTAGTAAAAAGTACTAAAAACCTTAGCTGCCAGAACCAAAACCTATATATTCCTTGCCCCAAATTTCAATCCTGATGAGTAGGTGAGAGGGCATAAGGCTTAACAAAAAATAGAAAAAATCCTAATTGACCATGAGTAAATCGGAAGGAAACAGCCAATGACACAACTTCACCTTTGTCAAATCTCTTGCATGATAAGTCCTCCAATCTTGGCTATTTCATCCTGACACTCATCTAAACCATATGCTCGTCTTAATGATGCAACGATAAAAGTCTTCCATATCAAGGACCAGGGGAGAACTCTTCCTGCTCAGGTTCCATATTATGATATGTTGAGACGTCTGGATTTTGTCCTTTGACCAGCCCCACCTTGGATCGACAGCCCTGCACGGCCAAAAAGGGATTGCTCACCTTCAGTCAATCGAGACTGGCCATAGCAGGAGCATGGCAATGCCCCCTTGAAGTGCTGCCACACAGCGCCCATGCGCGAACTTCCCCGAGGCTTCCACCACTCCCCACTACTGACCGACTCCAACAGTCAGAGATAATGCACCTCTGCTCTTGCGATGCGCCGCCGCCCTACGCCGCCGCGTTCATCTTCTTTTTCTTCCCTACCTCTCGTCCTTTTTCCAGCCTCTTTCAATAAGGATTTTTTTTTTTTTTTTTTTTTCCTGAGAATAGCCCTTGTGATATCCCTCTATCCTGGTGGTGGTAGGAGAACCATCAGAATTGAGGGCTTATCTTTGGGGCTGCTCCAACATGACCCTCAACCAAAAGTTATTTGTGCCAAAGCGGTCTTTGCGTTAGCCGCCCCCCCACCAGCGACCCCTCCCCAAGCGTTTGGATGGGGGAACCTGAAACCGTTTTCAGAAGCTTCAGCCACTTCAGGTCATCTAAGAGGTTTCAGGTTTCCCCACCCGAAACTCCTGAAATGACCTGAAGTGGCACACAACAATGTTGAACCAAAACAAAAACAGGCAAAAACAAACCAAAAAAACCCATGAAATCTGGCCTTCAAACCACCTGGAACTCCTGAAATGACCAGAAGTGTCTTCAAGCCATTTCAGCGATATCATACCTCTGCTAACAAACTTCAGAATCTTTCATTCTGAAATTTCAGTAGGTCGTTAACCACTTGTGTGCAACTGTTGATGTCAGCAGCCCACAAAGTACTTGAAGATGTCGCCCAATGCAGACCATCGCCAATACCAGGTATGTGCCCTCACATCATCATCATCATCATCATGATCCTTCTCTCTCTCACCCCTGAATTACACCCGCATCTACCCTCTGTACACCCGAAAAACACCCCTGCGCCTCACTGTAGTCCAAGCCCATCCAACTATGGAGGCTGGGCTATGCCGCTGCCCTCAGCAGCGCCCTGCTTCTTTGCACGACCACACGTGCTTGCACCTTGCCCTCAGCACCAGCAGCCCGCGAGCATTCGCTCCAGCAGCGCTGCCGCATCACTTCGCAAGTGCCTGAATGAGCGCCCAGGCAGCGAGCTCTTTCCTATATGGAAAGAGCCTGCCTCCTCCGGTCGCCTGGCTGGCCTGGCCCCTTGCCCATAAGCTTCCGGTAGGCCCCAAGAGGTTGTGCCTCCGATGCGGCTGCTGGGCCTCGTTCGGTTGGGCCTCCCAACTGCCTGTGTATGAGGTTGCGATTCCTGCCCAGGGCCTGCATTTTTCGGAAAGGCCTGGAAGGCCATGGAATCTCTTTGCTGCTCGGCCTATGTTTCTCTCAACCAACTGGCGCGTCACAACTGCTTGGACCCCAAACGCGAAATTGACAGCTGAGGCCCTCTCACGATTTGTTAGGCCCGCCTTCACTTAGGGCGGGCACTTCTGTAACAGGGCCCCTTAGGCCTGCCGAGGAACCAGATCCTCGCAATATACACAGGGTGAACTAAAGTAGGAACGGGGAGAGGAAGGGAGGGTTGAGGTGGAGGGGGGAAGATATGGAAGGCGTGGCACAAGAGGGATGGCACATCATGCAAATTCTAAGGCAGTCGTATCTATTACACCGGCCGGTTGAGGGACCTGGCCTGGTGGAATACGCAATGCGTATGGCGCGGCTCAGAAATGAAATCATGTACCTGCAAAATACGTATGTAAGGACGCGCATAGTTGCTTGTAAATTGCTGGATGAAGCATCCAGCTGGCCACACAAGGCCAAGAGGGAGTGGGCACGCCATATGGAAGAGGCTTGGACATCGGGTAAAGGCCCGTGGAGAGGGGAGATCGGCACAGAGGGAGACACGATGGTCACGACGGCTGAATTGAGGGACTGACTGATAAATGCTACGCAGGTGGAGGAGTTGCACGTTGTCGGGGCGCGAGGCAAAGTGATACTCCAACCATGGAAGCTACCAGCAGAGATGGCCGCAGCGAGATTGGCTGAACGAAAACGGTGGCCATGGGTGAAAATATGCAAACCCTCCCCTCTGACGGCCAAGTGGATGCTGGGAGCAGTGTAATTCTTCTTCGGTACGATAGCCGCTAAACAAACAGTATATGATGAGGAACATGAATACGAGTTATGTTATCAATGGCCCGCTGAAAAACCCGCTGGGAAACAGTCTGGTAGTGGCCACAGGCCCGTACAGTTTCGAGGAAGTTTGGGTCATTACAAGCGAAACCCCCTTCTGTGAAGTTTGTTTTACACATGGTCATATGGGGTTGCATGGAAGATGCCTGACACGAGCGGAAACTATATAGGAACTGCATGATAGGAAGATCATAAGCTCTATGGACCCTATAACGTGGTCAGACCCGCAAGAAGAGAGAGGGTTTGGTCGAGCTGGAGCTGCAATCGGCTTTTTTCGAAGAAATGAGGACAATGACACAGGCGCAAAGGGAGACAGCGAGGCCGGCCGGCCCAAGCCTGTGGTGCAGAAGGCCGGCAAGGCGAGGGGGGGGATATAGGCGCAATGTTTCGTGGGAGGGCAGGGACGATGATCCCATGCAAACAGACAAGCCACGGTGGCTTCTTGGGGATGACAGAAAAAGGAAAGTGGAGCAACCCCCAAAGGAAGGAAGAGGGCCTAGGACGGCCAATATGAACCAAACAGGGGCCGGTGGGGGACGGGGCAGGGGGTGAATGAGGGGGTGCAGGGGAGGAAGGTGCAACACAAAATGGGACCAAGGAAGGGCGAGCGGGTGAGCGGGGTATGGTGGAGCAACCTCGACCCTCAGATGGAGAGAAGGCGGGTGACAAGGGGGGGGAGCACTGCCGACAGGGGGTAGGCCAGGAGGAAGCAAGCAGGCAGAATGGTCAGCAAAGAAGGGATGGGGAGAGTGACCGGCAACAGGGAGTGCAAGGACATATGAGTAGGGAGGGTCAGATTGTAGGGGTGGAAGAGGGAGACATGGGTTCTGGGGCAGAAAGAAAGGTGGGTTTGGGGAGTAGCTTGGGCCGCAAGGCAAAGGAGGACGAAGGGAGGAGGTGGGGGGACAAGGACCCGACGGGCAGGGGGCAGGGGGCGCCCGAGGGGATACGGTCGAATGAGGCTCGAGGGGAGGAAGTGGAGGACACAGCCTCCAAATCGGTGGAAGGAGAGAAGGAAGGTGTGCAGGGGACCAAGCAGGATGGAGATAAGGGGAATGAGATTGGGGGGAGGGAAGCAGCCAGGGGAGGGGGGTGTGAACTGCAGTGCTCAGAGGAGGTGGGGGAGAAGCGGGGGGAAGGGGAAGGGCCTGCCCAGGGAGGGCAGCAAGATTGCTTGGGCGAGTCAGGCATGACAAGGTGCTAGACAGACCTGCATATGAAATGCCAATCGTGGCGGAGCGCGTCAACACGGGGTGCTCTACGGCTGGACATAGACGCAGACAGAAGCAGGTGACTGCAGGCCTCCCGAAGAGTCCTTCCTCGGCGGAATGCTTTCTGGCTCCGACCTATTCTTCGACAACAGCAGAGTCAGCGTGTGCGAAGCATGTTCACCACCTGCAGCCGGATCGACGGATGCAATCGAAAAGTGGGCGGGGCCGCTCGCAAAGTGGTCGGGAAAGGGAACGAACTCCATTGGGAGGCAAGGGGTTAGGACCACAATATTGGGTGAGGGGTAAAAGGGATGTGCCACCATCACCATCGCCATCGGCCTCCCGGTTGAGGAACTTGAACCGCATGTAGGCAACCAAGGGAAGGACTCGTCGGACTCCTCTGACACAGAGACATCGGATAGTAGCCTGGAGCCTGAGCAGCCGGACCACCAGATCACAGGGTAACAAGAGCAGAAAACGACGAGTGGGGAGGGACAACATCAGATATTGGTGACCTCGGAAGGAACTGCTTCGCCCTCTATGCGGCCTGTATCAGAGGACGGCAGTTAACCACAGCAAGAGAGCCAGCGGCAGCAAGACCCGTTAGTTCAGATAGCCAAGATGACAGGTCAGGAACGAGTGGGGCCCCGTTTGAAGGATATCATGCAGGCAGGGGAGTGCTATGTTCGCCCCATTACCTTCTGGGAAGGATGCGATCAAGGTCCTTATGGAGGGAGCATCGGAAGTGCCAGTCTTCGGGGTGAGGAAGCAGCCGCAGGAGCAACAGATGCTGAGGCAGGTCCTCAAATGGGTGGGCCCAAGGTATGAAGTTGTATCGCTGCCCCAGGTCTTGGCATCATGATTTGTAAGACAGATGACGGATGGCAAGGAGTATGTGCTGTTTGTGTTCTTCATGGAAGCGATCCCCAAAAAGTCGGGTATCCCTAGGATGGGGGCGAGTGGCATGCGGTGGATGCGGTTTGTTGGTGCCTTTGGCCCTACGGCCCTATCCCAGGACTATCATGTGGTCCATGTCACTGCCCTGGCTATTCTTAACAGTGTTAATGCGCGGCTGCTGCTGGAGGAGCATTGGGAGCCCGACAATTCTAGAAGGGGATAGGGAGGAGTGGGGGGAGTAACTAAGTAGCATCTTGAGAGGAGATTGGGGGGAAGTACCATCCCGACCCTGGAGGTATCCTTGCCCAAAATAAAATCAGACCGGGTCCGGTACGCCCGCCCAAAAGGCTTGAAAAAGGCGGCCTATCTGGACCGCTGATATCGAGAGATCGGCAGCCCAGATAGGCCGCCCTTTTCAAAGTTTTTGGGTGGGAAATACCATCCCTACCCTGCCACTAACACCCCCACCCCCTTTTTCAAAGTTTTTGGGCGGAAGGTTAACATTTGCAGAAAGCCAGGTTCGTTGTTGTCAACGTCTGCTGAAGCCCGTGCTTGCTGAAACCCCACCATTAACACCCTCACCCTCACCATAACCCCCCGACCCCTAACCCCTGAAATACCCCCCCCCCACCCACCAAACGAAACTTCTCTGTTCAAAGTTTTCTTGGCGGATTCGGGGAGATCTAGGCGAGAGCGCAGTCCAACCATGTTTTCAAAAAAAAAAAAAAAAAATCCCACTTTTGGGCCCAACCGGATTTCCGGTTGGACCACCGGGGGTCCAACCAGCCCGGTTGGATCCAGCCCGGTCCAACCGGCCGGTTGCCGGCACAGCCTAGAGGAGGAAGAGATCTGGAGTTTTCTTCACAACTGTTTTTTTCTAGATTTTTTTTTTCCCAATTTGTTTTTTTCCCCCTGGGGCTGTCTGGGGCCCCGCCAGGACCTTGCGGTGCCAGGGATTCCGTGCGGCCAGGGGCAGCCCAGGCACCCAGAAAAGTTCCAACTTCCTAGCCTTTAAACCACCAGTATCTCTGAGTCTCTTTTTCCAAACGCGGATTCCTGCTGCAGGCAGATAAAAAAACGAAGTGGTGTGGGGACATTTTTTCACTTTTTTGCCTGGCATTGCTACCTCTTTCACCCGAATAGAATCCCCAGTCATTATAGCAGTATTTGCGGCAACTTTCAGTTCAGATGCATCCATAATGACCGGGCGTCCTATTTGGGTGAAGACTAGCCTTTTTGGTCTGTTAGGCTGAGCCCCGAAGGATGCAGTGCGAGTCAGAACAGACCGGCTGGGAAAGATACTGGTGTTAAAAAAAAAAAAAAAACCCACAATCTGATCGACTCCATATGGGAGGTCATCAGCCACTGGGTACAGTCCAAACTGGGACAGGCAGGCCTGTGCCCTACCGTTTTCACCAGAATAGAACGGCTGGTCATTATAGCTGTATTTCGGCCAACTTTTGGCCTACATATAGCAATAATGACCAGGCGTTCTATTCGGGTGAAGACGGTAGCGACTTTGTGCCTGGGGCAAGGCCCCCGGTAGTTTTCGGGTAAGAGTGGTCTTGAAAGCTCCGGCCCTCCAGGCCTGTGAAAGTCAACAGTCAATTCATGGCTGAGAGACTCGGAAGACGGTGTTGAAAGCTTGAGGCCTGAGAAATTCAAGAGTCAGTCCTGGAAATTCCATGCCTCAGAAAAAGAATCGACTCACCGCGAATCTGTACTCTATGAATTCTGTTAAGGGACCCTGGACCCCGTTTTCCAGCCGGTGGAACTCCCCACCAATAGATTGGAGTCATCTGAGAGGAGCACCACAGGGAGCTGCTCTTATCAGTCTCTGTGATACTTCCCCAGGATGTCTTTTTTTTTTTAGATGATGGCGAGCCTCTGAATGGGCCTCCAGATACAAGACCTAATCACTGCACTGTGGTCCAAGCAGCATCTTAGCCACCCAATGGCAAATCAGTTCCAGATCTCAGCCAGACATTCCACAACCACATTGCCTAAGCAACCCCATCACATGCACACATCTCAGCTGCCCCAGGCAGAATGGCTGGTGAAGACCACACTTCTCACTCATCCTCGGCATGCAGATTTGCTCGCTGGAGGAAGAGTCCTGGAGTTGTGCTGGCTGTTGTAGCCCCTAGGAGGTGCTGCCATCCACATGCAGGGAAAACTAGCGAGTGCTATGCAGCAGGCCTTGGAAGAACGCCAAGAGGGATGCGGAACCCATAGCCACAACACTGAATGCATGTCTCAGCCATTCACCAATCAGGAACCACTACTTCGAGCTCCAGTGTTATGAGCAAGCAAGCATTGCAAGTAGGCTAGTTTGGCAGCAACATGTGTGTGTTGTCATTTTTTCTATACACTACATTTTGTGTGTGTGTGTGTGGGCGTGGGGAGAGA